TGAGTCAGTTCCAGCTCTAGCGACCATATGTGACAGAATAGAACTGCCCCATAAGATTTTGTAGGCTGTAATCTTTATGGGAAAAGACCACCAGGTCTTTTCTCCTGTGGATCTGCTAGTGGACTAGAACAACTGGCCTGTCAGTTAGCAACTAGTAAGTCAGAGAGGTAGGAAGAGAATCAAGATGGTCTAGTCCCAGAAAGCAAGAAAGGAATTTGCATTGTGAGTGAGTGGTCTTTGGAGAAGATGGACACAATTGGATTTGGCAATTAACTGATTTACTGATCAGAGAACCTCTGAAAATGAGACTTTGACAGCTATACTTCTGCAAGTTCACTTGTTGAACAAGTCCATTTCTGAGCCCTGTTCCACATCCCATTTGCAGGTACCTCGGATTTCATCTGATTCCTGAGACACTTCTGCAAAGCAAAACCATCTCCTCTTCTCATTTTGACCGTTCAAATAGCTTGAGGCATGAGTTTCAGAGTCATTCTTTTAAAAAATTCTTTCTTCTCCTCCCTCTATAAACTCTCTGAATAAGATGACCCTTTTAGTTGCAGCTATTTCAAGGTTTTATTGCTTAGCCATAAAAATTGTCATGATATCGAACATGAAAATGACTGTGGCAAATGTGTGGTAATTACATTTCATTAACATTCCTAGTATGCTTGCAGCTGAGATTTTCAAGCCTCTAGGTAATTACTTTATGTAATAGGGTCTAGTCACTTTTTCAAAGGGTTTTTGGTAGAGAAAATGATGGACATTTTCGTCAGCGCCTCTTGCTTCACCCATGTATGTACCTAGATATGTGTTTATATGTAGTTTATATGCATATATGTATGGGTATATACTTGATTTTGTGTGATACAATCATTAGTTCTAAGGACAGTGCCAGCCTTTGGGTGTGGTTAAATTTAACTCTTCAGACAGGAAACCACCTTTCCCTTCATCTGTATCCCACAGGAAATCAACAAGGAATTTGGCTAATGGGAAAATTCAGGTTGGGTTTCGAATAGGATAAGCTATTAAAAATTCTGTTACACCCTTATGCTCTACAAGAATATACTTGTACCCTCAGCTCATCTAAGCTGAAAGAAAAAAAAAACAGAACTAAAAAAATGCATTGTGGTTTTAAAATTGAGGAAGGTTTCTACTGTAGTTGTGTAATTTATAAATTAGTATCTGTACTTAAGCTGATACAAAGTAGAAACACCAAAAAATATAATGCCATTGTTTTTCAAGAATAGTTAATCAGATTTTTCTATCTGATAGAAAGTAGAGCCCTCTCTAAGCTTCCACTTGGCTGTGAGTTGTGTGGGTCCCTCTTCTGTTGCTATGATAGTCATTAAATAGTCAACTCTTAGTTTTTAAATATTAGAGGAAAGATTAGCCCAGTGGGTAGACAAGTCTTAAACATTTACATTTGAGACAGATACAGATAAAGGCAGATACTCAAACACCACTGATTCCCAAACATTTTGGAGCTATGAAAAGTAATTTATTCTGATGAAACTTCCCATCATGGCATATGGTTATTTCCTAGTGTGGTTGTTGATCCGTTTCTGAGGAGCTCTGGTGGTGTAGTGCCTAAGGCATTTGTCTATCAGTTTCTGAGAACTTTTCTGAGAATTTCAGGGAACCATCTCAAGCTATTTGAACATCTGTGAGTGTCCCACACTCAGGCCTGGGGACTACTGGTCTCCACATGTAATGGCAGGAGCATGGAAAAGGCCAAATGCAGTTTTCAGCTAAGACTAAGTTCTGTTACTTGTCAAGTAATGATGGAGAGAGCCAGGTGAGTTGTTGTTTGTTATTAGTTGCCATTGGGTTGGCTCTGACTCATGGGACCTGTTGTACATAGTCTACCAGCACAAAATGTAGCCTGCTTCTATGCCATCTCTAACATCATTGGTATGTGAGAGCTCATTGCTGGGACTATTGTGTCAGTCCATCTCATTGAGGTTTTCACTCACTTTTGTTGGTCCTCTATTTTACCAAACAAAATGTCCTTTAGGAGCTCTGGTAGCGTAGTGCCTAAGGCACTTGACTGCTAACCAGAAGGCTGGCTGTTCAAACCCACCAATCACTCCTCAGAAGGAAGATGGGGCAATCTACTTCTGTAGTGATACTGCCTCAGAAACCCAAGGAGGGGTCGCTATGAATCAGGTCCAACTTGATAGTACATAGCAGCATCAACAGTCTTTCCTAATGACGTGCCTACAGTAAGCAAGTTGAAGTCCCACTGTCCTCACTTTTAAGGAACATTTTGGTTACATTTCTCTTAAGACTGATTTGTTTTCCCACAATTTACTTAATATTCTTCACCAATACCACAATTTTAATGCATCCATTTTTCTTCTTTCTTCTCTTAAATGTAGCAAGTATTGGTTAGCTAGTAGTGTTCATCTGTTCAACTGGAGTTTATTTCTGACATGGGTAAGTCAGTGAGTTACCAGTCACAGTTTCTTTTTCACACTCATATACCCAAATATATGCATATCTCTCAAAGAGTCATCTATCTGGGCTATGTAGACCTTAATGTATCCATACTCCTCTCCACACGGGATCCAGCTCCAAAGAGATCCAGTAACCATTTGCTAACCGAAAACAGAGGCTCTGAGTCCCAGCTGCAGAATCATCTGTGAAGCTTTTAAAACTCCTAGTGTCCAGCCAACTTTGAGAACAACTAAGATGACATAACTTCCAAGTGCTTAATCAAGTTAACTTGCCTTTTTTTTGGTTAAACCACTATAATTTAGTCCTCAGACTATTCTTGTTTTTGCTACCTTTTCATGCTTCATTAATAGGTAGGTAGTTGCCTTGTCTCCTCAGTTCATGCTTCTCTGTAGGGAAACATTGATCCTTCAAGACAATCTTGCCAAGCCACAAAGGAAGTGTGCAACCTAATGTACCTTGTTGTTGTTGTTGTTGTTGTTTGCCATCGAGTTGGCCCCGACTCATAGCGACCCCTCCTTGGGTTTCCGAGGCAGTATCACTACGGAAGTAGGATTGCCCAACCTTCCTTTTTAATGTACCTTGAAGTAGCCAAATTCAGTAGCATCAAGACTGTGCAGGGCCTAATGTGAAATCACAGAACAAGCTGTATATATCTGGATTTGGGGACTACTATACAGCCACTCCTCGGAAGGAAGGTTGGGCAATCCTACTTCCATAATGATACTGCCTTGGAAACCCAAGGAGGGGTCGCTATGAGTCAGGGCCGACTCTACGGCACATAACAACAACAACAACAAATACAGTAGAAAGGAGCTCTGGTAGCATAGTGCCTAAGGCACTTGACTGCTCACCAGAAGGATGGCGGTTCAAACTCACCAGCCACTCCTCGGAAGGAAGGTTGGGCATTCCTACTTCCGTAGTGATACTGCCTCGGAAACCCAAGGAGGGGTCGCTATGAGTTGGGGCTGACTCGACGGCAAACAACAACAACAACATACAGTAGAAGGGAGCTCTGGTGGCGTCGTGCCTAAAGCATTTGACTGCTAACCAGAAGCCTGGCAGTTCAAACCCACCAGCCACTCCTCGGAAGGAAGATGGGGCAATCTACTTCCACAGAGAAACCCAAGGAGGGGTCGCTATGAGTTGGATCCTATTCGATGGCAGTGAGATACAGTAGAAGCTCAGAGGCTGTTCTGATTGCTGCATGCTCATGAAAGGCATCCATCTCCCCTAAGAGAACCACAACTCTGCTTCTGGGTTCACTGTGAATGGCTGCACCCCACTTTGCACAGGAGTGTCATTTGCCTGCTGACAAAGCCAATTGGGACCCTTGGCCAGACTTCACCCTATGTGGGTGAAGAGCTGTGATTTCAGCCAGGATGATACTCAAGAAGCATTGGAGAACCTTAAAAACTATATGTTTAGTGCAGTTAGTTAGGCCCAAAAGGACAAATACTGCATGATCTTACTTATATGGAATATCTCAAGTAGGCAAATGCATAGAGACAAAAAGTTTATTAGTCATTACCTGGGGCCGTGGGAGGGAGGATGGGTGTTATTGTTTAAGGGGGTACTGGCTTTCTGTTTGGGATGATGAAAATCTTTTGGAAATAGATAGTAGTGATGATTGCATCATGTGGTGAATGGAATTAATGCTGCTTAGTTGTATACATGGAAGTGGTTTAAATGTCAATTTTTTTATTATATATATTTTACTACAAGGAAATTTTTTAAAATCATTTTCCAAAAATGGATTCTCTAGGCAACCAAAAAAAAAAAGAAAAAGAAATACTTAGAACTGGTACTCTATTTGTTCCTCATTGAGGAAATACTGGTCGTATTTGTTCCTCATTGAGACTGAGATGACAGCAGCGGATTGAGAAAAGGTTCACAATTAGAAAATGCAATGTAAATGTCCCATGAGTGGTCCAAGGTAGACCAGGCCTCCCTTAGGAGCAGCCGGCACTGTGAAGTGTACCGTGTTTGCAGATAAATAAAGAGAGGCACAAGACAAAACCTGACGAGTGTTCTAATGTCTGCAGTGTATGAAAGGTGGCTCTCTGGGTGATGGACTCAGATTAAACTCACCTCAATCTTCCTCATCTGCCACCCTTCCCTGGCTCGCATTAGAAATTCAGAGGCAGAGAACAAAGCAGCCGAGTTTGTTTTTTCAGAAAGAAGGATCTGGAGAAAAGAGCCCTGACAGCTGCTCTCTGGGGTTGGCTGAATTAAGGGCTTTTACATGTTCCATTCAATACTCTGTTTAGTCTGGAGGAAGAGGATTTATACATCATTTTTGGCTCTAGTGTCATTTAGGTAGTTCTGATTTCCAGTGATTTCACTGTCATCTGTATTTGCCTACAATGAGAGGAATAATTAGGAGAATCGGGACTCACAGTATTGCAGGGTCACTTACAAGCTTGCCTTTCCTCACTCACTCTTCTTTAATGGTGTTGCCAATGTTTCTAGAAACTAAAGCAGCCGTCCTTAATAAATAACACCTGGGTCAGAATCATAACCCGCTTTCACATTGGCTTTTGCAGAAGTGGCAGTGCATTGAGGATACATCTGGCAAGCTGCGAATTCACAAATGTAAAGGCTCCAGTGACCTGCTCGCAGTTCGACAGAGCACGCGAAACCTCTATTCTCGTGGCTTCCGTGACAAAGACAAAGAGTGCACTTGTGGAGACCATAGTTATCGCACCAGCAGGACCCAGAGGAAAAGCCAAAGGCAGTTCCTGAGAAACCAGGGGACTCCTAGTAAGCCATGGGCTTGTGACCATCACAGGGGCAGCCAGGCCCTTTGGGAATGGGTGTTAGAGACCAAAGGGTTGCTCCTTCTACATTGTAGATATTAAATGCATACATTTATGGCTGCTTTATGGCTGCTTTGTGCTCGCCAGCACACTATCACTTTTAAAATAAGAAAGCTGAGATTCGTTTGAAATCTTGCTTTGTAAACATTTTTCAGTTACACAGGAATGAAAACATATTCAGTAAAAGCAACAGACACAAAACATACGCATACATAAAAGAGCTATAAAGTGATTATCCCAAAGGGCGTGCAGTATGGTTTAAGTCAATTTAATGTTACCTTCTTGCTGACATCCTGATTCGTCTGCCTTCAGTTGCTACAAAACAAATTCCAAGATTTTACTGCTTGTGCATTTAACATAATGGAAAATCATAAACAATTTTTTAAAGGCATGTCTTTTAATGTCTGTTTTAAGGTAATATATTTATATTTTTAAATTCTGTCAGATGGTTGCCTCGTGTTAGCTGACAGGGTCAAACTAGTTGAATTCATTAGGAAAAGTACCGCCTAACATTTTCTTCGTAAAAACTATCTGGCAGCCAAGAGACCTATGATTACAGAAATAGGAAAACCCTGAATCTGACACCTTCCATAAAAGAGTGGGAGTCTAGTGCCACCTAGTGGAGCGATATGCAAAATAACTCATTTTGTGGTTCTTTTTTTGTTGTTAGTTGCTGTGGAGTTGATTCGAACACTTGGCCACCCCCTGTGTCTTCACAGAACTGCTCCATAGGATTTTCAAGGCTGTGATGACCTTTCAGAAGCAGTTCACTAAGGCTGTCTTCCGTGGAGCCTCTGGGTGGCTTCTAACTGCCAACCTTTTGGCTCCTAGTTGAGTGCTTTACCAGTTGTGCACATACATTAAGCAACATACATGTAATTCAATTCCATGTCCAAAATTTGGAAATAAAATTATTCAGTATAATAATGGAAGCCTTTGAGACAGGTGTTTTTACTGTGAACTCCATAGATGGACTTGTGTTTTATTGCTATATGCTGTGTGTTTCTGCACATTTTTTTCTGAAAGTCTCTAACGTTCGACATATTTTTAAAGGACTTCATAACACAAAAGGCTAAGAAACATTGATTTGGGAGGTTTCATAGTGGCTAAGACACTTGCCTGCTAACCAGACGGCTGGCGGTTCAAACCCACCAGCCACTCCTTGGAAGGAAGGTTGGGCAATCCTACTTCCGTAGTGATACTGCCTCGGAAACCCAAGGAGGGGTCGCTATGAGTCGGGTTTGACTCGACGGCACATAACAACAACAACAACAACAATTTCTCCCCTGACAGAATATGTCAGGTTTAATAATTCACCCAGAGGTATTAAATCAAAAATCGACAAGGACCTCAGACATTCTTCTCTTCCTGGAATCAATGACCAATATTCAGCTTAGAGGTAGGGGCTCCTTCTCTCCCCTGGAAAGTCAGATACTGTTTTCTTTTTCAGTCCTAATGATAAAGCACATTGATTTTAAGTGTTGCGGCACCAACAGATATTTACAGAAGCCTTTTTTTCGAGCTGTGAAGAATCTTCTGTATTTTGAACAGGTTGCTTTTCTTCTCTTCCATGATGATAGAACTTGTGAGCACTCTCCAGTTCTGATTCCACGGCCCATTATGTTAATGTCTTCCTATTTCAGCCCCACACTAGAGGGATATTGTTGTTGTTGTTATGTGCCGTCGAGAGAGGGTAAGACCATATAAATATGCTCCAGAGAGTCTAAGTGCATTTGATACAAGGGGGCCCATGTTTGCCCTCTAAAATTCTAATCCAGTGGCCAGAAAGCATGCTGACCTTCCCCCCCACACACACCTCCCATGTTATCTACACATTGCCAGTATTGAAAGTCAGCTATCTGTGTGAAGGAGTGGGATGGTCCCATAGAGTTTTCTAGGCTGTGTGTGACTGTGTATTTCTCTACCTGAAACCCTCTGTGGTTCCAAATCCTCCATGGTTCAAGTTCAGTCCCTTAGCCCTCCCTCCCCCAAGCAGGCCCTCCTTAGAACCCTGGGCCAGGCCTACTCTTCCCTCCATTTTGTCCTGCAGACTCTGTGACTTTACTCAAGCAGGTCCTTCTGTCTAGAGGTCTAGAGTGCCCATTCACCCCGCCACCCCCACCTTCTGGATAGACCCTGGGACCTCCTATTCCTCAGCTTTTAGTTAGAAACTCAGTCCCAAGGTTCCTTTCTCTAGAAGGTTTCTCCAGAAGATGGCCTTCTCCAGGGCCTGAAGTTGGGTACGGAAGTGGTGGCTGCTTGGGGAGGGAGGGAGTGTGAGCTGCTGTGTCTTAGAGGACCCAATACAGAACATATGCAGCCAGACACCCCCTCCCCCCCCAAAAAAAAGTCAAGTAAGATAACTGTTGGAAGCTTTTACAAAGTTTCATTTTTCTTATCAAGCAGTCATCTATTTGTGCAATTAAAAAGTGTCTAGAGCATGTACCTGTATGAAGAAGCAGCTTCATGTTGTGGAAAGACTAAAGGCTTTGCAATCTCACAGGTTATTGGCTGTGTAACCTTGCAAAGCAGACTATTCAGAGCATCTGTTTTCTCATCTATAAAATGAGGATAATGACACCATATTCATAAGCCTATTTAGACAATCAGATATGTGTATTTATATAAGGATTTATTATAATACCTATCTTTCAAGATTGTGAATTAGAAAGATAAGTAAAGTGAATAATACATAGCAAATGTTCAGCAAATGAGTTATTAACCATGCCATAATTGAGAATGTAATTTTATCCAAACAATCTGCATTAGCATTTCACGTTGAGCACTAAATGTAGACGCTCACAAGCTGCCATAAGTGGCAAGGAAGTTAGAGATTTCCCTAACCCACCCCCTCACTTGAAGGCCGGAGAATCTGAGGCCCAGAGTCACCTGCCATTACACCACTATACAAGGTGGCAAGGCCAGGACTAGAACCCACTCTTCCAACGTGCGCTGCCCAGTGCTTCTCTGCAATGTAGCAAGTATTATTGGTACCTTTCCAGGATGCTTACCATGCTCAATGATAATTTTCTTCCCCAAAAAATGACATCTGGACCTCCATATTAATGCACCAACCAAACCAAAACCCATTGCTATAAAGTTGATTCCAACTCATGGTGACCCATGTGTTTCAGAGTAGAACTGCTCCATAGATTTTTCTTAGCTATAATCTTTACAAGAGCAGATTGGCAAGCTTTTCTTCCATGATACTGCTGGTGGGTTCAAACAAACAACCTTTAGTTAGTAGATGAACGTAAACCATTTACACCACCCAGGTATGTCCATGTTAATGTATCTTCCCTTATTTCCAGAGTACAAGCCCAGATTTGTCCATACTCGGCAGACACGTTCCCTGTCTGTTGAATTTGAAGGTGAAATATATGACATAAACCTGGAAGAAGAAGAATTACAAGTTATGCAACCAAGATCCATTGCCAAGCGTCATGGTGAAGGTCACAAGGGGCCAGGAGGTCTCTCGGCTGCCAGCAGTGGGAACGTGGATGGGATGCTGGCAGACAGCAATGCCGTGGGCCTGCCTGCCACTGTCCGAGTGACACACAAGTATGAAGCCTTTAGGTGTTAACTAACTAGGGCTGAACTCATCCCCACTTTACTCCTTTTCAAAAAGTAATTACACTCAGCAGGCTACTGTCCAAGGAGCTGGCATACCAGACAACTGGAGTTAAAGAAGCAATGAGGAGTCCAAACATTGTAGATTTGGATGTATGTTTTGGTCAGTTTCAAATGCATGCCTATCAGCTGGAAATCTGGCCAGAGTAACTCTGTCACATCTTGATTTAGCAGGCTGGGTGCGTATGCCCTTAAGCAGTTACCTTTGTGGTAGTCTAGAAAACAGATGGAAACAATTACTGGGACTAGCAGAGCCTCTTTCATGTGGTATGGTCACTTTTGCTCAGAGCAGTTGCAGTCACAACCTCAGAAATGAAACACAGCCCAAGGGAGGATTGTGGGTCCCAGATAAGTATCAAGACAGATGGCATAGGTTGAGAAGAGATGTAAGATACACAAACGCCTAGCCTGTCCAGATCCCAGAGAGCAAACTAGTGGCCTTCAAGTTGATTCTGACTCATGACGACCCCACGTGTGTCAGAGTAGAATTGTGCTCCGTAGGGTTTCCAATGGCTGATTTTTCTGAAGTCAATCACCAGGCCTTCCAAGGTAGCCCTAGGTGAAATTGAACCTCCAGCCTTTCAGTTAGTCGCTGAGCATGTTCACTGTTCAGACCACCCAGGAACTCCTTGGGAGTCAGAGGAGAAAACTCCAGCATAGTTTCCATGAACTCACATGGTTCTTCACTTCCTTCCAAAATCTACTTATGTTCCTGATAGAGAAGTATTTTCTTTCTGAATTTATGTCCCGAGCTCTTGATTTTCTCTGTAATTTCGTCACTTTGGGGGATGAGGGATGGTGAGGTCACCCAGGGTTTTCATCTTGAAGACTGGTCTGTCTGTGCCTTGAGTTGTTAAAGTGACATGTTCAGCAATTTAGACCAGGATTTGTTTCTCTCACATTATTCATTAACCCCACATCTCACCTGCTGCCTTTATCAAAGTTGTTTCTTTACTTCAAAACTTAATGGGGTTCTCAAGGCAAGCTGTTTTTAACAAAATGAGTGGATGGATACCCCCTTCTGACTCTGACTCAAGCAAGCCATTTCCATCATGACTTCAGAAATCTCATTTTGTTTCTGTACATATACTTGCTGGAGGCTTTCAAAACTGGAGTTTTGAGTGGCATCTGTTTATGGGGATGTGAATACTCACAGCTCTCTTAAAAGGTCATCTTAGTGATGCTCTCTCTCTGACCTCTTCCTTTGTCCACACCTGTAGCTAAGAGACATTCTCACTTATCCATGGCTATTAATTGGCTCTGTACTTACTACTTGTATCCAAATTAAGAATTGAGTGGATAGTTAATTTTTCTTCACTATATCTAATTTGATTGCTTGTTTGTATTTGTAGATGTTTCATTCTTCCAAATGATACAATCCATTGTGAGAGAGAACTGTACCAATCAGCCCGAGCCTGGAAGGATCATAAGGCCTACATTGATAAGGAGGTGAGCCGTGGCTATGTAGTTGTCAGGTGTCTTAGTTGTCTAGAGCTGCTGTGATACACTTATACCACGTGTGGGTGACTTTACAGAACAGAAATGTATTTTCTAACAAGTCTGGAGGCACAGGTCCCAATCAAGGTCTTACCTGTGTTGATACCTTCCTTGTCAGTAGCCCTCTAAAACCAAACTCACTGCCATCGAGTTGATCCCAACTCATAGTGACCCCCATTGGGTTTCTGAAGCTGTAAGTCTTGGCAGAAGTAGATTGCCCCATCTTGGTTCTGCAGAGCAGCTGGTGGGTTTGAACTGCTGACCTTCTGGTTAGCAGCCAAATGCCTTATCCACTACACCACCAGAGCTCCTTTGTCAGTAGCCCTAGATGTTCCTTAATTTACCGTGTGGATGATTTTCACATAGTATTTGTCTTCCCCAATATGCATGGGTCTCTGTATCTTATCTGCCCTTTTTATAACTCAAAAGTGATTAGCTCTAGAATCCTCACTATTCAGGTGTGATCTAGTAAACATAGCAATAAATAAATAAATAAATAAATAAACCCTACTTCTAAACAGGAGGTATATTCAAACACAGATATAGAGGTTAGGATTCTAATACATATTTTGGGGGACACAAATTAAAACGTAACGTAAGTTATATTCCTAACTCAAACTCAGCTCTTAGCCCTGCTTTGCATATTTGGAGGGACACAGTGTGTGAACACTTCATCTTCTGGCTAATTATGTGAAAAATAGAAAAACAAGCTATTTCTCTTTTTCCAGTGATTTAGTGATAGCTTGACTGAAAACAAATTACAGTGTGAGAAGAAAATGGGGATTGACTCAGTGACTGAGTGACTTTTGATAAAGTAATTCAGTTATAAAAGAGACAGCTGTTAATGTGTATTTATAACACATTGGATGAAATATAGAGGTATACATAGGTTGTTTTCAAATTAATTATCATGTCGAGGGGATAGTTATAAGTATGAAACACAAGAAGAAAAGGAGGAAAAAACATGTACTTCGTGTAAGCAATCCTGATCTTAAAATACCATTGTCCAAATACATATGTTCCAGATTGAAGCTCTGCAAGATAAAATTAAGAATTTAAGAGAAGTGAGAGGACACCTCAAGAGAAGAAAGCCTGAGGAATGTGCCTGTAGTAAACAGAAGTAAGTGTTTACCCATCTCAAACGCATTACCATATGGACAAGCTAAAGTGATTACAGAGTCCCTGGGTGGTACACACTGTTAATGCATTTGACCTCCAGCCAGGCTACCAACCAAAAGTTTAAAGGTTAGAGTATACCCAGAAGCACCTCCAAGAAAGGCCTGGTGGCCTCCTTTTGAAAAATCAGCCATTCAGAACCCTATGGACCACCCTGCATTAACAGCAAAGTTTAAAAGCAAACAGAAAACAACAAATGCTATCATGGATGTGGCAAGATTAGCACTCTCATACACTGCTAGTGGGACTATAAAATGTATAATCACTGTGGAAAATAGTGTGGCACTTCCTTTTTTTTTTTTCTTTTATTGTGATTTGGGTGGAAGTTTACAGAGCAAATTTATTTTCCATTCAACAGTTCATACGCATTTTGTTTCATGACATTGATTATAATCCTTGCAATGTAACAACTCTCTTCCCACTTCCTTCCTGGGTTATCTTTTCCCTCTGTTCTTCTTTTCCTGTGCATTCCTGCCCTCTGAGCGATCTCCCTGTGCAAATACTGCCCTTCTGATCTCCCAGGGCTGATTGTTCTAAGAAGTGCACGCTCTACTTTGATGGGTAGCAACTGGGCTCTTAAAAGCTTGAGTGGCCATCTAAGGTGCAACTATTAGTCTTTCCGAATCTGGAGCAAAGAAGAGTGAAGAACATCAAAGACACAAGGAAACAAGTGATTCAAAGGACTAATAGAGCTCTGGTAGCATAGTGGCTAAGGCACTTGACTGCTAACCAGAAGGCTGGCAGTTCAAACCCACCAGCCACTCCTCGGAAGGAAGGTTGGGCAATCCTACTTCCGTAGTGATACTGCCTCGGAAACCCAAGGAGGGGTCGCTATGAGTCGGGGCCGACTCGACGGCAAATAACAACAACAACAACAACAATAGACCATGCAAACCACAGCCTCCAAGACCCTGAGACCAGAAAAACTAGATGATAGCTGGCTGCCACTACTCTGAAAGGCATAACAATAGGAAATCCTGGATTGAGTGGGAGAAAAATGTGGAACAAAACTCAAGATTAAAAAAAAAAAAAAGGCCAGCCTGACTGGTCTAATAGAGACTAGGGGAACACCTGAGATTATGGCCCTTAGACAACCTCAGACCTGGAACTGAACTTACCTCTGTGGCTCAACTTTCAGCCAAACAATAGGCAGCCCTGTAAAATGAACTATAACACCAGGGCAGTCTGCACGCCTTAGAATAGTCAACCAGGTGAGATCAAAAGGGCAGCATTCGCCCAGGGATAAAGCTCAGAAGGCAAAAAGGGATAGGAAAGAAGGATGAATGGAAACTGTAAACACAAGGAGGAAGTGGGTAAGTGTTGTTACATTGTGAGGATTTAAATCAATGTCACAAAACAAAACATGTATGAATTATTGAATGGAAAACCTAATGTTCTTCACCCAAATCACCCAAAAACTTTCATCCAAATCACAGTACAAGAGGAAAAAAACCTTGTAGAGCACATTTTTACTCTGATACACATGGGGTCAAATGAATTGAAATCAGCTCAACAGGAACTGGCTTTTTAAAGTGATTACCACTAAATTGTTGACATTATCATATATTTTAACAATTTAACCCATTTGGATCAAATTAAATATGCCATAAACCTATGCAGAAGATAAAAAGAAGAAAATCTCATTAAATTAAAATAGTTACAATAAAGTAACTGTTTTCCTTCTATTTTGCTTTCTTTATATAAAATGAATTGTTTGGTCAAATGAAAGGCTATGAAAACTCACTTTTTAACCCTTTTGCCTACAGCTATTACCACAAAGAAAAAGGTGCAAAAAAGCAAGAGAAATTAAAGAGCCATCTTCACCCATTCAAGTAAGTTAACTGTTGTCCAAATTTGCTGGCAAGTCCATTGGTGCTTCTGAAAGGCTGGAGGGACTCTTGGGTTCTGACTGGTGTTTGCTTTGAAAGAAGTGAAGTCACCTCGAGAGCAGATAGCTCATGAAGGTGAAAGTAAAGCCAACACTCTGCCAAGGGTCCGTGGTGATACTTGTGGAATCCTTTGGAGCAGAGGCACAAGGAGTTGTACTCTGACTCTGTGAGCACTCTCCACCATATTTGTGAGACAGCCTCAAATGCAGCCACCACCCCTCCTGCCCGTGGAGGTTTGCATATTGCTATGATGCTCAACAAGTATCAGTGGCACTTCCAGGGTAAAACAGATACGGAAGAAAGGTCTGGCAGTCTACATTTGAAAATCAGCCAATGAAAACCCTATGGATCACAACAGGCTGACCCTGTTATGCATGGGATTGCCATAAGTCAGGGCCAATTCAAAGACAACAAAAAATATACAAACTATTTTATTCAATGCACTGCTTGCTGTGCAGAGTGACTGAGAGATGTGTACTCTTGATTAGATCAGTGCATTGTATAGAGCAGCCTGCAATCGTGTGAATTCCAAAAGTTAGGAGAAATGTACATATTTTGAAATAACAGTAACATTAAATAAAGGAGATTTAGTAGTTAAGCCTCAACAAAATTTGAGGCCCTTTATGGAAAACTAACATTTAAAAAACGAAAGAAAGAAATTTTTTTTCCCAAGCCTGTTTTATAGAATTTGTTAAAGAATTTTAGAGACCATCGAACCCAACCAACTGTTGACTTTATGGCTGATAGGTATTGAACCACTAGGAAGTTAATTGATTTGCTTAAAAGGTGTTGCTAGCAGGATCCACTCACCCTGATGTTTAAATGTAAGTAAGAAAGAAAATATTGACCCTGTTAAGGCTTAGTAAAGTTCTAAGAGAGATGCCACTTTACGAGTTTCCCTTGACCAAAAAAACGGAGGAAGTCTAGTGACACAGTGGTTAAAGCATTCAGCTGCTAACCAAAGGGTTTGTGGTTGAAACCTACCAGCTGCTCCATGGGAGAAAGATGAGGCAACCTGCTTCCATAAAGATTTGAGCCTTGGAAACCCTTTTGGGGCAGCTGTACTCCGTCTTATAGGATCATTATGAGTCAGAATCAACTGGATGGCACTGGGTCCGGTTTGGGGCTGTGAAAAATAAAGGTCATCTATTATCGTGTATCCAAATACATGTTTGAGATTCATAGCAACAATCACATTTTTAATTGAGGAAGTACTTTCTGATCATTGAAAAATCTCTTCTGTTGGACTAGGGAGGCTGCTCAAGAAGTAGACAGCAAACTTCAGCTTTTCAAGGAGAACCGGAGGAAAAAGAAGGAGAGGAAGGAGAAGAAACGCCAGAGGAAGGGGGATGAGTGCAGCCTTCCTGGCCTCACCTGCTTCACACACGACAACAACCACTGGCAGACAGCCCCCTTCTGGAACTGTAAGTTGTACGTCCTGAATACCACATATTGCCACCATGCAGACAGTGCCTTACGCTACCATTATTTAGACTAAGACTCAATGGCATAAAACCAGGAATCCAGAAAGATTCCAGAGGAAAGCATTGTACTGTTTTCTATACTGGAAAATCATGTTATTTTGCCAAAAATTAACTTTTCCCTTTAGAATTTCTTTTGTTTATATTTTGTTTGATGCCAAACTTCTCCCTGGATTTTTCTCCTTAGGATGTTATTTCGCACAGTGCCCAGCACCTGACAGAGTGCTACTCAAAAAAGTTGCTCTACAACTAAATGAATGGATGAACAATTTTACCACAAATATATTTTGTTTCTGCTTTATTTCAAGTGTATATTCTAAATATAGTAAAAGGAGGTAAAAAGTGTTAAAAGCTCCTCAAATGCAGGGCCCACAGCCTACATATCTCCTACTCTACTTCATTACCTAGCACCATACTTACAGAATAATAGGGGCTCAGTACAATTTTTAATTTTTATATTGGATTGTGAATGATAATTGTCTACTTTTAAAATTAATGCTCATATATGCTTCGGTTACCTGTGAGGCCACACAGAATAATACCCTAAATTCTTGTGGTGCATCAGCTGATTGAAGGCTCATTGTCCCACGTAGTAGATGAAACATTATCCACCCGTTGCCTTCAACTCAATTCCAACTCATGGCAACCCCACGTGTGTCAGAGTAGAACGGTCCTCCAAAAGATTTTCAGTGGCTGGTTTTTTGTCGGTAGATCACCAGGCCATTCTTCTGAGGCACCTCTGGGTGGACGCAAACATTGCACCTCAACCATTTGCATCACCCGTGGACTCCAGATGAAACACAGAATCTTAGAATTGAAAGACTCTTTGGGGATCACCCACATCATTGTTTCTTCAACTGGAATTTTGAGAGGCCCAGGAACCCACAGATCACTCTTGAGGGGATTTAAGACCTATCTATGAGAATTTTTAAGTTCTATGTTTATGTTTTGATGCCTCTTGATTTCAGTGTCCATGTTTGCATTCCAAGCCAAAACCAAACTCACTGCTGTCCAGTTGGGTCTGACTCATAGCGACCCCTCCTTAAGTTTCCGAGGCAGTGTCACTAGGGAGGTAGTTAAGGGAGTGAAAATTAAACTACAGTTTAAAAGGCCTGAGAGAAAGAATCCATATGAAAGGGGATGTAGGTGGAAGGAAGGGAGCAGCAGTTTTGGCAGAGAGAATGTATGAGCAAGGTTCTAATGAGGTAAAGAATTCATTGTGTTTAGGGCTGGCCCACCTCTTTAAAGATCAAGCACTGAGACACGTAAACGTCCCACCTGAGCTGAGATAATCTTGCTCAAGCCACCACCATTTCTTACTTAACTACTGCAAAAATCTGTATTTGGCCCTCCCAGATTCCTCTCTTGCTCTTTCCAGTCCATTCGGCTCACAGAATTCAGTGATATTTTAATGACATCCTATTCTTAGAGAAGTAAGCCCTTGAGTGTTATAAACCATTAACAGGTGCAGCTGCTAACCAAAAGTTTAGAGAGTTGAATCAACCCAGTGGCAACTCAGAAAAAAGGCCTGGCAATCTATTTCTGAAAAATTAACCATTAAAAATCCCACAGTGCTCAGTCCTATTCTGACACATGAGTCAAAGTCAATTCGACAGCAACTGGTTGGTTGGTTGGTTCATTTTTCTTAGGATAAAGAGCAAAATCCTTAATATATCCCACAAAGCCCATCTTGCTACATTCCAGTTCTAAATCTTCTTCTTGTGCCCACTTCTTCCCACACTCGCCAACTTTGGCCACTTGGCTTCTGTCTACCTCAAGCATCCCAAGCTCTATCCCACCTCAGGGCCTTTGCACATGCTATTCCCTCTACCTCACCCTTATACCCACCTGCAGCCTTGTTCTTCTCAAGAACCTACTCATCATTTGAAGCTCTACTGTAAAGTCACTTCTTCATGGTGACCTTCCCTATTCCATCAGATAAGCTTAGCCCATTTTATACACTTTCGGCATGTTCTACTTTTTCTCCATAGATCTTTTCACATTTGTAATTACATGTTTTTCCTTTCATTTTTGTTTAACATTTGTCTTCCTCAGTAGATTATAAGTTTCTTAAGATAAGAGACCATGTCTACATGATGTTCTGTCCTTGGCACATTGTAGATAGATGCTCAATGAATATTAGAAGAATAAACAAACAAACAAGCCACCTTATTAACCAGTGAACCTTTGTGTGAAACAAGAGATATTCAAAGGCATATCTCAGAGATACTGTGGGTTTGGCTCCAGAGCACTGCAGTAAAGTGAGTCACACGAGTGTTTTGGTTTCCCAATGCATATAAAAGTTAGGTTTACACTATACTATAGTTTATTAAGTATGCAATAACATTATGAAAAAGTTTGAAATATCATGAGAGATATTAAAATGAGACCCAGAGATGTGAAGGGAGCACATGCTGCTGTCAAAATGGCATAGAATTGCTTGATAAAGAGTTGTCATAAACTTTCAATTGGTTAGAAAAAAAAAATGCAATCTTTGTGAAGCACAATAAAGTGAAGTGCAGTAAAACAAGGTATGTCTGTATTGTAGACAGCCTATGATGATTACAGATTACGTGATCTCTAAGTCTATCTAGCAGGGCTCAAGCCTTCTCCAAACCACTCTGCACTGTGGAATTTCCTGTTTCTTTGTGTTCCCTTTGTGACATGTAGCCATCTGACATAGAGAACAAGCAAAGGAACCAATTACACCTTTGTATTAAGTAACTATTTTTCCTAAAAATAACCAGAAATAGAAATTCTAGTTATTTTTCCGCCTATACTCCCACCACTCAGCCAGTTTTAGAGACCACTGCTAAACAGAGCTAAGTGGGGGGGGGGGGGCATATCTTTGTGTCATCTTCACTGTCAGCCTGTGATGCCCATCATAATCACCATCTTTTTTTCCATTTTCACCTAGTCTCATAGCAAATCTATATCAAGAGAGATAAAAAGTTTTATTTAATATCTAATGACAATATTTATCAGAAAGAAAATGTGAATCTTAAAGGGTAAAGATAATGAAACATTGGAATGGAGAGACTGCCTATCTTTTTTCATTCTATTTTTGTTGTGTTTTCCCTTTTTTTTCATTTTCCAATAGTGGGATCTTTCTGTGCTTGCACGAGTTCTAACAATAACACCTACTGGTGTTTGCGGACAGTCAATGAGACTCATAACTTTCTTTTCTGTGAGTTTGCTACTGGATTTTTGGAATATTTTGATATGAACACAGATCCTTATCAGGTAAGACAATGTGTTTTCATTTTATGAAAGTGTCTGAAAATAAGATATCCTGGCAATGAACTTAAATAAATATGTTTCTCTGACCTCTTCTGCAGCTCACAAATACAGTCCACACAATAGAACGTGGCATTTTGAATCAACTACACATACAATTGATGGAGCTCAGAAGCTGTCAAGGTTATAAGCAGTGCAACCCAAGACCTAAGAACCTTGAAGCTGGTAAGAGGAAATAAAAAAGTTCTTTATGTTGCCAAGTTTTCTGCCTTTGAAACGTTTATATGCACAGAAAAATATAGTTTTGGATACTTATAAGGAAAACTTTCCAAGCAGTTCCAAACATCTTTTTAATCTTTAAGTTTAGCATTGGATTCATTAATGAAAAATGTCATGTGCCAAAGATTTGATGAGAATTTCATTCCAGTCCCTCCCACAGGTCTATTCTATTAGTAAATACTGATTCTTAATAGACGTAGCTATTGGAGATGGGATGAAAGGTCTGAGGATTTGTTTGTTACTGTTGTCAATAGTCATAAATACAGGTTAGGTAAACCTGAATAGACTCTTTTTTAAGGAACCTTGGATGGAAATACAATGCCCAAGTTCTGCGTACCAACTTTGGACTCAATTGGGTCCCTGCCCACAACACAGTGAATTAGATTTCTTTTGCCAACATTTCCCATGTCTCTTTAAGGATATTTCCAGTCGTCAATCTGGATAGCATCAGGAACTAGAGCTGTTTGAGGAGCTTATTAACTTGAGATCTGAAAGGGTAAGAGGGTCTGTGTGGAATCAGTCAGATGGTCTGCAGTGTTAAACTCACCAAGGTACTTCTTCTTGGGCTCATTGGGATACAATTTTTCAGGAGCAGGTTCTAGCTCTTTCCTTGTTAGCGCAAATCCCCTTTTTCTTTTTTACTTTTTATTGTGATTTGGGTGAAATTTTACAAAGCAGAATTGTTTTACATTTAACAGTTCATACACATTTTGTTTTGTGACACTGATTATAATGCCCACAATGTAACAGCTCTCTTCCCACTTCCTCCTGGTAGTTACCTTTGCCTTATGCCCTTCTTGTCTGTGCATTCCTGCCTCCTTACCTTTCTTCCTGTGCAAATGCTGCACTTCTATTCTTCCATGGTTGGTTGTACTAAACAGAGCCATCTCCCTGGTATAGCTGTTTATCTCGTAAGTCTGTCTATTGTTTGGCTGAGTGTTATGTCAGGGGAGTGAGTTCAATTCTAGACCAAAGGGTGACTAGGGGCCATAATCTCAGGAGTTTCACCAGTCTCTATCTGATCAACAGTCTTTGTCTTTTTTATTTTTTAATTTTGTTCCACAGTTTTTCTCCCACCCTGTCCAGGATCTCCAACTTTGATCCCTTTCTGAGTGATTGGTATTGATAGTCAGGCACCATCTAGTTCCTCAGGGTTATGTATATAGGCTTAGGTTCTTATTGTCCAATAGCCCATTTTCTCCTCATAGCTTTTGTAGAAATAGAAATGGCTATCCATGGATGGGCACTGGTGTCAGCGGAGCATGCCAACCTCCAAAGGGCAAAAAGCTAGACTTGCAGGCACTGAGGAGTCGCAGAAGCCCTTTGTTGTATGACTGAGTTTTCCCGTTCTCTTTAGAAGATTGTGTCTCTCTGGGTCATGCCCAGAGACAGCATCTCCAGCACTAAAAACAGGCAGCTCTCTGAGTCATGTGATCTGAAGAGTCAAGATTCTTATCCCAAAATGATCAATGTCACTGCCCATCATTCCACCATTGTAGAGTCATAAAGGCTTTTGATCTATGGGAGTCCCATCATAAATGTAGAACCTATGAGAGCACTCACATCTCAGCCATTATTCAACAGCTTTCTGTTAACATCTTAGTGGAATCAATTGCCAACCAAGAGAGAACTGGGTTTATAGGCTGGATCTTATGGTCATTGAGTCTATGCAGCTCAAATCTTTTCAAATACCCTTCTTATCTGTTGACCTTTTCCTCCAAACTTACAAAACAAGAAATAACAAGAAAAGACCTCACTAAGGCTTGGGATGTGTTAGATTCCAACTATTAGAAAGAAACAAAACCAAATTCACTGCCATCAAGTCAATTTCTACTCATAGCAACCCCCTTTGGGTTTCTGGAGCAGTAAATCTTTACAGAAGTAGATTGCCCAGTCTTCCTTCGCAGAGTGACTGTGAGTTTGAACCACTAGAGCTCCTTTCCAAGTATTACAGGCAATATTACTCCTAGACATTCCTTCTCAGGAGAACATAGCATTCTTATTGGTGATGACAAAAACCACTCTACTTAGTGAAATCTGATCGAGTCTCCTAATGGTGAAAAGACACACCAGGTGGAGCCAGTTACTGCTGTTATGCTTCAAATCCCTTCCTCCACCATCTAGACTGTCCCTAAAGGATATGATTATTGGCCACTTTTTTGAGTGTTTTGTCTGAAATTAACCAAAATTAAACTTCCTCAAAATTCCACAGACTTCTGGAGGCACCTTTCTTACTGCTAATAAATCAGCTCCCTTCCTTTTCTCACCCCACCTATTTTTCACGTAAATACTATGGTTTTTATCTTAAACCTTTTCATTTATAACTTTCAATCCTCATTTTGAGCCTGTCTAATAGAAAAATTCTGTTGGGCCTGGGCACTGTCTGTATTTAACACAATGTATTTCTTTCTAGGATTTAGACCTTGTGCATGGAAAACAACATTGTGAATGGTTTTATGTGTTCTAAAGCTAACATGAGTTACTCTTGTATTTTCCTATATCAGGAAATAAAGAAGGAGGAAGCTATGACCTACACAGGTATTCACACTTTTTTATTCTCCTTGGCAGCTTCTTTCCCAATAATTGCATGATCCAGCCATTATTTCAACTAATTTCTGTTCCTTACCATGTTGCACAGACATAGCTTGGGGTGCATGTGCTTTCTAACAGCATTCTCCACATTTTTTCACTGGTTTTAGATCTGTTGTTTTGCTTTCAAATCAGCTCACTGTCACAATAAGATGTCTCCCAGAGCATTCACTCACTCCTGTGCTTGTTTGTTTGTTGGGTGAGGCTTTTAAGCATGGAATGATGTGAAGGGGTAAGAAAAAAAAAAAAAAACCTAGACACACTTAACATAATCTTTGGAGCTCTTTGAGGGGGTAGAAGAAGTCTTTTCCTTGTGGTGCTTACACCTTGATCTGGTGAGGAAGCTTCATGGAAACTAGCTAGAAGTTTTTATTAAATAAAACACCAAAGTCGTAAGAGGAATAATGGGAATTTTAAAGAATTCTAAAGCAGAAGTTGGAGGAAAGAAAAGGAGCTTCTCTGTGGACAGTTGTTAGTTAGTTTTGGTGGTGAGAAGCACTCGTAATATGATCCAGAGACCCTTCAGGGTGTTGGGAATTGAAGAGTGTTCTGGGAGTTGAGAACAAGAATCAGAAACAAGACACTCAGAAAAGCCTTGAGATAGCATGTGTGAGATGCCACTGGAACAATACCCGAGACAATAGTGTCTGCCACACAACACTCAAACAGCCGTCACCCTATTCATCATATTCTTCCCCTACCCACCTTACCTCACTGTGTTCTGAAGAGGGAATCCAGACACCTCGTGACCGTGTCATTGGGTTATCTGGCAATGTTGTTGTTGTTGTTGTTGTTAGCTGCTATTGAGTGAGCTCTGAAGATGCAGACCTCATATACAATGGAACAAAACATTGTCTAGTCCTACACCATTTTCACAATTGTTGGTATGGTCAAGTCTATTGTTGTGGTCACTGTGTATTTTGAGTGCCTCCCACCCCAGGAGGCTCATCTTTCATGGCTCTATCAGACAATATTCTGTTGTGATCCATAGGGTTTTCAGTGGATAGTTTTCAGAAGTAGATCACTAGGCCTTTCTTACTAGTCTGTCTTCATCTGGAAGCTTTGCTGAAACCTGTCCACCATGGGTGACCTCACTGGTATTTACTATAGCAATGATCAAGCCACAATAGTATGGCAAACTGACAGACAGATCATATGCTTACCCAGCAACATTGTTGTTGTTGTCGTTGTCGTGTGCCGTCGAGTCGGCCCCGACTCATAGCGACCCCTCCTTGGGTTTCCGAGGCAGTATCGCTACGGAAGTAGGATTGCCCAACCTTCCTTCCGAGGAGTGGCTGGTGGGTTTGAATCACCAGCCTTCTGGTTAGCAGTCAAGTGCTTTAGCCACTATGCTACCAGAGGTCCCGCAGCAACATTAGTCCTTGCTAATTTTCTACTCAGAACCTAGACCTCAGATATTCGGAACTGTGCCTTGGGCAGGCGATGGGGACTGTCTGCTGTGGGAATCCTGAGGGCACAGATGTGTCAGTCACTGCCACACTGCATGAATTCACCTGGGAGGAAAGTTTCCCTCAAAGAATGGAGTTAATGGACTCCTACCTATTGATATCTCCAGAGGAACAAAAGTCATTGCTTTTCCAGTTCTCCCTGTCCATCCCTCTGCCACCTCCTCCAGCCTCCACAGCTAGAGTTTCTGATTCCATCTTTTAGTGGACAGCTCGTTGTCCTGGCTAGAAGTTAAATGGCCATAGGAAAGGTGGTAGAGACTATGGAAACAAACAAAACAAAGGAAGCTAGACTTTTGAGGCTATGTATAATCATGCATATATCTCTTTTTTTTCCTTCCCTCTCTTGCCTTTCTTCCTCTTTCCTTTCCTTGCTTGGCCCTACACCAACCATGTCACCCTTAACACATGGAAGACAGAGTAGAAGAATTCACTCTTAACCTGGTCTCACCCAGGATATGAGCAGATGAGGTAGTATTCCATGCATGAGAGCTGTTTTGCCCATTTCCCAGGAGTCACATTAAGAAATTTCAGAAGTGAGACATTTCTAATGGACCTAACACTCAATATTGACTTTACAGTTATTTTGTCATTCACTCATTTTCATAGCTAAAGGGTTTTCAGTCTGGCCTACTTTCACATCTTCCAAGAAAGAGGTAAAAGGAAATTAACAGGTTATTTAAGATGTAAACCTGGTCAGAGCTGAGTCAGAAGGTTCTTCTCCATGAATTATCACTGGACAACTTTGAAACTAAGTGTATTTAACTGTTCTTCAGGTGTGCCAATTAAACCACAAACACCTGGGGCTCATCTTTGTCTCTGATCCCTGCTGCCACCACTCAAGGAGTTAAAGCAATAATTTCTGAGGTCATTTGGACACAGCCTTGGCAA